AAAATTTCACCTAATTAGTGACCACGAATACTTGTATGTTATCACAGTACAGCGTATATACAATTTATTCACAACAATCGATTAATGTTGGTAAGATATGAAGCTAGCACATTCTGATGATATCAATATAATTAAAAGATAGTGTTCTCACTACCCAATTAAGAACAGATATTATTGATTAAGAACCAAAAAAGAAGAAAAATTAAAAAGTTTTCAATGAGAAAAGTATGTGTTTTGTACTTTAGTTAGTCGCAATACAATAGTCGAACTTGTTTCTAAAGAAAGAGCTTTACCTGTTCGGTGCCGCACCAAACAGAGACAAAACTTGAAGGCAATAATTTTCTCAAGTGGGCGTCTATTGCACCCACCGAGTCCTGTGTTATCTATCTGCCTTCGGATTGCCCGAGCTAGACCTACTAAAATCCTCAAAGCAATAACTTTCCAAAAAATGATTTGGGTTTTAATCAACACAAATCAGCGACAAACTCTTTTTCAATTTAGACTTATTGTCGCGAATATCCGGGTTTAGACCTATTTTGTTTTACTCTGGTCCTTATAAAGGGCAAGTTACCAGTGCAGTCACTAGTTTCTAGCCTGACACCTAATAACCTAATATTCTTCACTTTTTTTTTTATTTTTGTCTAGATAACTTTTGTCAAAAGTAGGACCCTTCCAGATTGGTGAAAATAGGATCCTTCCGAATTGGCAAAACTAGGACCCCTCCGGATCGGCAAAAGTAGGACCTCTCCGGATTGGCAAAAATAGTGCCCCTCGGGATTGGCAAAATTGAGACCCCTCCGGATTGGCAAAATTGGGACCCTTCCGGATTGGCAAAATCGGGACCCTTCAGGATTGGCAAAAATAGGACCCCTCCGGATCGGCAAAAATAGGACCCCTCCGGATTGGTAAAAATAGGGCCCTCCGGATTGGCAAAATTGGGACCCTTCCGGATTGGCAAAAATAGGACCCTTCCGGATTGGGACCCCTCCGGTTTTCTAAAAATAGCTTTTCCGGAACTTTTAGAAATTTCACCCAAGACCCTCCCGAATACGTTCTCCGATGCTATTATGCTGTAGGAACTAACTAGGAAGGGTGTATTTTCCGTCCCTAGAACCTTAGGGATCGTAGTTAAGCCTCTTTTTTTACTATTCTACTCAACTGTGAAGGGTCTTCTAACTAGCCTTGTTTCGACTCGACTATGGTTTTCTGGGTTCCTTAGCCGTCCGTTTTTGACTAGAACAGCGTAAAATTGCCTTATTCAACCGTTACTACCCTTTGGTAGGAGTATAAGGGCTTTCCAAAAAAAAATTCACAAAACGTGAAGGGTCTACCTTCACAAATTGGTAATTTTGCTAAAACAATCTTAAAAAACTTCTACGCTTATTTTTTTTGGATAATTGAAGGTTTTATGAGTAAGATCACTTTATTTTAAAATCAACTAGATCTGTCCAGTATTTCCAAAGTTATTAACCAAAACGTCTTTTTTCTAAAGTCAAAAAATTTTCTCTCTTATAGGTTCCGCCTAACTTTATTCGCAATTCTTACCTTTTTGACCTCAAAATTATTGATCTGAAATTAGAAGGCCTCTAATCTTCCAGTTCAATGCAACAAACCCGATCTAAAATGTTCCAGCTGAAAAAATTCGCCAAAAACAATGCTATTTGGACCCTTCCGGATTGATGAATCCACTAAATCAAACACGTTAAGTTCAATTTCTCTGGGACCCGAAAGGCTATTGGCAACGGGTTTTAAAACTTACCGATTCACTAGTGTACGTTGTCTGAACAACAATTTTTACTGCCATAACTCAAAAATTTCGAATTTTTTTTTTTTTTGTAAGATCATTTCTTGTTTCGTTTTTTCAAAAATCAGGAAAATTCGGTCTTTGGTACCCAATTAGTTCCAACCACTTCAGAACTAAACTTAACCGGTTCCAACTATTATACTAGTTTAGTTACGATGTAACTCACTAATTTAGCGCTTTTTTCCCTTTCAAAAAATATCGATATCGCAAAAATCGCGATTTGTGGGGGATCAAAGTATCACTATTTTGACCTTAAAAACCGGTCTGCTTACTAATAAAGACTGTAAGAATAGTAATACCAATAATATTATACCCATCCAGGTCTGCTCAATATCCGAATTAAAGTGCTTAAGTCGGAAATTTGCAATTTGGTGGAGGGTCACTTCGGTGCAGTCACTGTCGAACCCCTCACAGATTTATATCTTCATTTTTTTTACCAAAAGGGATACAAAACTTCTTAACGATACCCAACACTCGTTTGTTGTTGTCTTAAGCCCCCTCTTGTTGCTCTTTGCACTGCTTGCCGGATCAGTCTTCTGCTCTAATCCCGAGAGCTTCCGGATTGAGCGCAAATTAGCATTAACGTGCTTAAATACTCACATAACCCTACAGTACAAGCACCAGAAACGGGCCACAAAGTTGATCGTACCAATCCTGACTGATATTAATGCCTGTAACAACGATATATCTAAGAACAACAAATAAGATGGTCGGATTACATTGTCTGGGGGGAGTGATTTCTACTGATTTTATAAATTTTTTATTTGTTTTTTGTTTTTTTCTTAGGTAATATACTACTTCTTGTTTGGTTTCCTGTATATCTTTAAGTGTTTTTGGTCCCAGAACTCTCAGGAAACGACGGGACGGCCAATCCTCCCACCCTTCCTGGTACGTGAATGTTTGGTCTTAACTAGGTTAAAAAGCTATTTTCGGGAATCCGGAAGGCTTCCGCGTTCCAAACTACCCTTCCGCCACGGTGGTTAGGGCCTTGTTTTGTGCATCCGCTCGGCAAGGAGTGCTCGTTAACTGCTCTGCGGGTCATAATGTTAAAAAAGAATAACACCCAGTAGCGCCAGAAAAACTTCTATGTAACATTCGCTCGGAAGTACATATCGACGGAAATGAAGCTAGGTTCCGAAACGACTGGCTAGCGTCTACACAGCTCTATATGCTTTTCACCGTCTCTGCCAAAGCAAGTGCTTTTGGTGGTCTTTCTAACATCGCGTCGACAGCAAACGTTACTGTTTCCGGCTTTGATCAGAACGCTCCAATTAACTTACTTTCATGCAGAAATAGTGAGCTCATGGCTGGATCTCAGTATCCACAGACCACGAGATCACTCCTAAAAACAGGGCTACTATTTATTTATCATATTATTAGTGTTTTTGTTCAGTAGATAAATATCATTATCTCCATCAAAGATGGATCAATCCTTAACTCCTAGCATAATCTGAAAATGATTTTAGAAGTTAATTGAATTCAACTCAGGACATCTCCAGGAAGCTAAAAGTTTATAAAACACAGTTTGAGTTCTTCTCACGAGACCCCTCTGGGTTCTGGAATCCGGGGAAATAACGCACTTATTTTTTTCAGAAAGGCTGGACACGCCGTCCCAACACCCTTCCTGATCCTCGGAATTCGTGTTGTAACGATTGTAGCAGCACAATCTTTATAACTCGGAATGGTTGTCGGTCACAATATTATTCTTATCGTTCGTATTTCTGGTCTGACTCTTCTATGTCTAATTTTCGTGTTTTTCTCGTTGAGAATACTGCTCTTCTGTTTTCGCCGTTTTCAGTGTGTGCGAAATTTGGACGTTGTCACGTGTCTTTCTTTCCGATCTAATTTTTAAAAATTTTACATGTTAGCTTAAACTAACCCTTCCTCGATCGTTAAAATGCACGATTTACACTGCTAATCCATCAAAACGGTTAATCTTCCCACTTCGATGTCACAATAAAAGTTCGAATTCTGACTTTGCCTTTTCGTACATTCTGGTCGAATATCACTCTAAATGGCCGTTTTTTGTTTGTTTTTCTCAGAAATTTTCAGGTCAAATCGAAATTTTGAAAATTTAAATTCCTGGACTTTTCTGAGTCTCCTTTTCATTATTCTTTCTATAATAACGCTTTTAACGTTCTTTTTGGCGTCCGTCGGAAGGTACGACTGTGCCAATCCGGGTGAATGGCACAGAATGAAAGAACTGCAAAATGTTTTTTTTTCTTCATAAAATCAGTTCTAATTGGGATAGAAATTGAAAATGCAAATTCAAACTTAAACCAAAAGCAGCTTAACTTGTAAAACTACGAAATTAAATTATCTTTTTTTTCAAGGAAAATTCTTCTTTTGCAACTTATCGAAAAACAACTTGGAAACAGTTTCGATTTGGAAACAGTTTCGCTACAACGAATCAGACACATGCACTTGGCGCATTTTATGCGAATGCAACAACTGTAGAGACCTGAAGAAACTTACACTTATAACTGAAAACTAAACTTTGAACAATGCAATGACTGGGTTTTATGCGAACCCTTGGATTATATTCCTAAATCCTTTGTTATTATTATTATTATTATTTATTTAAGCAATAAGTTAGTTATAACCGTTATATGAGTTTGTAAATGAATAATTAAACAAAAAATTGCACGACTTAAACTTGCCTAAGAATAATTTAAATGTTCATTTTTTAGTGCTATGTAACGGTAGTAATTTTTTTTTTAGTATTCATTTTTTAGTAGTGCCTCGTATACTTATATGAAATGTGAAAATATGTAAAATAAAAGTAAAGTTATAAGTTGATTTATACTTGGTTCTTGAAAGATATTTCAATTTGCTAATAAAGTGTTCTTTTTTATTTAAAACTTTTTGACATCGTGATGGATTGACTACATTTGATTTGACTTTAACCTCGGAGACTCGTGACTGTAACCTCGGATACTATGATACTTTTGACCTTCTGGTTACCATTGTTTTTGTTCTTTGCTCAATATTCCCTGGTGACCACTTGGGGAATACTAAAAGCTTATTTAATGCTGGTAGTTGTGTTTCTGGTTGTTGTGTTTTCTCATTTTTTGCATTCAATTTCCAGTATTTTGACTTTTTTTCGTCTTATTTTCTATTCGCTAGTTTGCAATGCTATGCTTCGTTCTATCATATTATTCGGATGATGAAAAATTTAAATTGTCCTCTTTTCAAAAGATGGTATGTAGAAACCGGTTTGTTGGTCATAAGTGATGGATCGAGCATCATTTGAAGGAAAGAGTTTTGGAGATAAGTTGGCATCTCATCAGCAAAAGTTGCCAAAGATACCAATTCCTGGAACGCAGCCGGGTGCGTGTAAGATTTTAGACAGATTTTCTCCATAGTTGAAATTTACTATTATTGAAAGAAACTTGAGAAATTTGAACTAATAATAAAAGAAACTTGATCTAAATTATATGTTCAGTTGTTGATTTTCAGCTAAAGACATACCGGAAACACCATCTCCGAACACATACCTCCTGAATGTGCAAAGACAGAAATCGACGTTTATGACACCCCTTGCTACAACCCAAGTAATATTTCATCATTCTTGTAAATTCAGAAGAATTGATAATTGAACGCATTATGAGATAATGGTTCCTAGTTGATTGAATATCGAAGTTAAAAAGAGCTAGCTATCCTTTTTTGAATTATTCTCGCATCTTTTTTGTATTCTAGACATCCGTTGAAAATGACAACCTGGGACAAGTCTCCAAGGCTTCATCTATTTCGATTAAACCTCCACCAAAGAAACAGAAAATTGATATGTCATCGTTTGAATCTGGTAAATATAAAGTGTTAAAGTACATAGAGTCTAGCTATCTTCTTGTTTCAGGGGGTTTGAAGATTTAGTTGAGTTTTGCTTTTTCTTCAAAATAGACTGCATTTTATGATTTCTGCTTCATTGTTTTCAGCACTGCTCAAAATTTCATTGTCAAAAAGTCAATAGGACAGCTCTTAACGATAGCGATTAGCAAGCGTTATCAATTTGGAATATTAATTTTTTTCATGTTAACAATTAGGTTAACAGGATCAACCGTACAAGATCACCCTCCCACCTCTCCTCTAAGTGACCTGCCGTAGAATGTCCTCGCCAATCATGCATTAATTGTGAAAGTGAATTTGTATAAAATGTGCATTTCATACAAACGCGTAAATTTAATTATTTTGAAATTTTTCATGCAGTTTGTATTTTGTTGGGCTACAAAATTAATTAAAATTGCGCGGTTGATCCGTTTAACAAAATCAGTTGATTCATTTGACAAAGCATCAAATGAACAGAAAAACGTGGTATATATCGTTTTTTTTCCACACAAAGTCAGGTACTACAGATAAAACTGAGATAGGGTTGACTGATTAAGAGACTATGAACGAAGAGAAGACATTTGTGCAGGTCGTGTTTTTCCGAGTTGTTGCGTTTTTACTTTTGACTTCTTAAATTAAAATACAAATCCAAGTAAGAAAAGGAAGCGAAATCTGCTCTCGGCCAAACAAAAAATTGCGAAGAGACATTGATGACTTTAAGTTCCAAAAATGGATTTAAATGTTGACTTACCAGCGGCAAATAAATTTATCCTAATTTAGTTTTTTTTAAACTGGTTTAGGCTTAACTAAAAAGCTGTATATTTTGTTCCATCTTAGAAGAAATTAGAGGAGGTATATGCTTGGTATTTTTTTAGTTTTTAACGGAAAATTTCACCATAATGAATAATTTGACTCCTTGAATTCAAATCTAAAAAGATTTTCTATCATCTTTTTTCACCGAAAAGCTAAGGCAAGTTGGCATTGTTCTGGAATCTTGCTTTGAAAATGTTTTTTTTTAATGCAGAAAATTAAACGCGATTTAATTATCTCTGGCAAATCATCCGGCACTCAAATGGTTTCAAATTGAATTTATGCAAGCTAATTGGTCTTATTAATTCCTTATACGAATAAATTTTTAACACACAAGGAATTTTTATATTGGCTGCTCTGGGACGAAAAAGAAAAAAGAGCAGCCGTGGTCGAGTGGGTAAGACGAGCGGCGTTCGACGCGAAGGTCGCAGGTTCGAACCCCACTTCGGTTTCTGTTCCGTAGTGAGATCCCATGTCATCCCACCTCCTCAAGGTAGAACCAGCTACAGTAAAATGAATGACATCACTCTACCCCAAAGAAAAGAAAACTTGAATTCAAAAATTAAAGTAAACTGTCAGAAAATCACGGTACATGTTTACGCATATCAGACAACAATCAGTGGGTTAACAAAAATGATAATGTAGCCACAGTAAGATAAAAACAAATGGGCATAATTAATGTCAGTATATATATTTAAAAATATCAGTATGTCAGTATATACAAAACAAAAGATGCTTCACCGCAATTATTATAAAATTATGCAAAGACAGTTAATATATCGGGTGACGCAGGGAGTTGAGTTGAAAGATAGTGTATTTCCGCCACATGTTTTTTTGTGGTGGGAATAGCCTGCGTCGTCACAGCCGCCCCTCCTCGACTACTGTGCTTATTGATGAGTCAATTTTATAAGAGTTTGATTTGAGTGATCTCGATCCTCTGATACATAAAATTGTACTTTTTAGGAGCGCAAAACTTATTTTGGCTCAGATGAAGGTAGTTGCATCTGCGTAGGAGTCCTCTCTTGGCGCATAATTTAAAGGCAATTCTTTTTATAAATTTGGTGGCAGAAGGTCCCGTTCAACCAGTGCATGCAAAAGTTAATGGATTGAATGTGGTGTTCTCGACTTCAATGATTCATTGTTCATATTTGAGTTTTTCAGATTTTCGTGGTAACTATACGAATCTTTTAAAGTTTTCGAACATTTTTTTGCAAGGGGGTTGATATCCCTAATATCAAAATATGTCTTGTTAAATCTGGACTTTTTTTTAATGCACATGCCATTGGCATATTCTTAGGTTCCTATCCGTCTCTTAGTGGTATACCAACCCTGTATTGACATGTTTCACTAACTTCTTCAAATTATTCCAATGTTCTTCAGCTTTTTTATCTATGAAGTTTTAATGCGAACCATCAGGGCCTATGACGGACCCGAGATTACGATGGCCGTCAAATTTTTTGACGTCGAGATTATCAAAAGATTTTAAAACTGTTTTAATAAAGCTGCATTTTAATAAATGACATTTCACCACATGATTTTCAAAAGCTGGTCCATGCTGAACGTTTATCAACAGTCTTTTAAGCATTTCATTGCTTCCTACTACATTTACATTACCAGCATACCATTTTTAGCAACTGATTCAAGGAGATTGCTAAGGGATCTCCTGTGTTGAACCTTCTTGAGACCTAATACGCTTTTCATCAAAAGTAGGCATGATGGTTTAGAGTATGAGTTGTTTATGGCATTAGATAATGCGGGGCATAAATTTTTGATTGCAAGGTTGCGATTTAAACTGCTAAAAGCGTGTTTGCATCTAAAAAAGCATTGCTCGTGATTCTTCCTTATTGAAAATTTTTCTGAGTAAATGAATTGCATATTCGATTCCCGATTTTTGACCTAAGCTAATGTTTCCGCCAAATAGGCTGAGATCTTTTTGCAAGCATGGTATAATACTTTGCCAAATTATTCGTCGAATCACCAACCCGACACCAATTGGTCGTAATCAGGGGTTTTTGTCAAGCGCTATAAGGCGAAATGCGTTATAGCAGTCTGAGAAGTCAAGTTTCTCGGTGGCGAATCTGATTGATACTTTTGCAATATTTTTGCAGAGGTCACTAGAAGATGTTTCAAAGCTCTTTAAAACACGTTTCTATTCATTTGCATTTAATCCGGATTGGCCATGAGTTTCATGTGTTTTCATTGCGGCTTTGCGAATTTTAAGTCCATTAAGTTCGTCGAGCATGGAATGATAATATGGGAGTGTGTTTTCATCTGTGTCATTAGCGGCTAGTGATGTTAGGTTGTTGAATGTGTCAACAAACTTGTAACCAGTCTTTTTTTACTCAGAATATAATAGAATGGTTTCCAGTGGACTGCCTTCTGGTGGATTTCATGTAGCTCAACGACATCCGGAGGATAGACCACTAAATTTGATATGCATGAATGTACCTACCGCATTTATAGCACCAACTGCCCCCACCTCGTAGGTGGCTAGAACATTGTGAGCAATGCGTTTGATGCGACATGTTGGTCGAATTGTGGGGGGGGGGCTGTGGTTTTATGGAGAAAACATCATAATAAGGTTACATAATTTACAGGTAAATTTGTAACCCTAAGTAGAAAGAGGACAGGGCAAGCAGGGGCTAATTTAATGGAATTTATGTTGGTAATCAAAAGTTTCTGAATCGAAATTGTGTGAGGCCATAACACTTCATTCCTTTCAATCATGATTTGATCAGTATTTCTTTTTTTTTGATAAGTTTTCCGTGTGCCTAAAAAACCAGATCAAAAATAAAGCTTTTTCCAATTAAGAGTGAATGAAGCCAGTGCGCCAAAATCAAATAAAAGCAAGTTTTTTGTGATTTTTTTTGAAATTGTAGTCAATTAATGCTGATACCATTGTTGTTAGCTGACTTAGATTTTTTTCCACACGCCCAAAAAACGAGGCAAACATGAAAAAATTTCATTGAAAACAGCATTCAGCAATTCGTTTAATCGGGTTTTGGATCGATGTGTGCGTTTTGGATGGATATAAGTTATTTCCGCTCGGTCATTTCACGAGCAGTTTTTTATGTTTTGTCAGGATGAATCAATTTGGGGGAGGATATATTTGTTTCAAAAAGTTCTCTCGGTCGCATCCGAAACTGTCTGCATGAAAAGTTAGGTTTGTAATGAGAGCTTAGTGAAAATGATTGATTCTGATCTTGGGTGTTTTGCTCACAAACGATTCTGACTCTAGGGTTGTAGAAATCGATGTGAAATATGTCACAAAAATGCTGTTAATGGCAAACCTTCAATAGCTTCGTTAATTGATTCATGTTGTTTTTACGCGTACTCTGCTCTTGGACCATACTGCACAGCGCACACCACCGTCATAATAATCATGTCAATAATGAGAAGTTGTTTATAATCGAGCACAGCTTTTTGAGTAGAATCGAAACTTTTCCACTTCTTATCCTGCAAAAAAGAATCCTGTTAGCCAAGCTGAAATGATATTTGAGCTTTTAATTATTACTCTTGTTTTCTTCCATAACTTGCACTTCATAGATGACTGCATTTTGTTTGGTATCGTCATATCTATTTTCATACTTATTTAAATAATTCATGCTCAAGCAAGATCTGATGAAATGTTGGCGTCATTTGACTGGTATTTGTGACGTTCTTTATACCATCAGCGAAACACCGCTCGTTCAGTTTTGTTTTAACAAGTAGAATATACTGCTGGCTCACCAAATATCAAATACATGTAGAATTTGGTCGTATTTACCGCCAAACGAACAAATATGTGGGGTAGTAAAGTTGCGATCGTTCGTTCAAATAAAGACAATTGGAGATCGCTTTCTGGCGGATTGGTATAGTCTCAGCTGATTTCAAAATAGGCCATTTGAACGATGACATTGGTTGCTTATGTTTTAATTTATACGGTAAAAGGAACATTGCTTAAATATTTTCAATCGCTTTCGATTTCGTAACTAAGCGATCAGTTATCCTCTATTATGTGACCATATTATTACAGCAGATGCGTGTAATGGTAGTATGGTAATAGTACTACATAATGTTGTCATGTAATATCCAGTGTGGTACTAGGCAATAGCAGTCTGGCAATGCTATAAATGGAGATCTGTCGCAAGGATATTGGTCCGCTTGGAGTCTGCTAGAACACGAGAACAAATTGTGAACATATTTTCATGCAAAACTATGACGTATATGCAGCAAAAAACTCTTCGCAATTAAAGTCAGCAATTTTAGCCCATCTGTACTGAACTTAATCAAAGCTATATGGAAGCAGCGAGTTAGAGCTGTTGGTTTCTGATCTTGGACGCAATAAGAAAGAACGTCAAGAGTTTGCTAGACAGCACAATTAAGGTACATAACCCGATAAATGATTGCTTGCTAAATATAGAGTTGATGCGTCACGTCATCTCATTGACTAGTGTGTGATGCTTAGTTGATCAGTCGGTAGAATTTACATCAGATTTCTGTAAACGACACGTTTTATTGCACATTCGATTTTAACTAATGACCAAGAGTCGTCTTTTTAGCTCCGCGACTCGAGCGAACCAACTCGGGATCTGTTCTGGCAAATTTGCAAGGCCCGACTCTACTGAAACTTGAAACCCCGAACACATCTGTAATTAGTGGCGACAACAACTTACTGGGACTGACAACACATCAAGGAGTTATCCCAATAGTGTCTCAGAACGCAGTTTCCATAGCATCAGTCAATGATCTCGCCTTGTCCCAGAACAATCAGCAACAGCTGGCGTTTGTCCAGAGTCAAGACGGAGGAGGTAGACTCCAGCGGCAACAAAAGTTCTCGAATCCTTTTGATATGGCCTTCAAATTCGAGAACTCAAAGTCTGTTGAGAGTCAGAACCCGGTAAAAGATTAGAGCCTTTGCTTCATTTTTTCAAAAAGGTCGAAAAAGGAATTAACGTTGCAAATATGATGATATATAACATGTCAGACTTATACTTTACCTTTCAAAGAGCGATGAGTTGATGATAAATGATTTTATTCCTCGAGCAATTATTTGTGAAGAGACTGTTTTAGCAAGAGACGAGAGTAGTGCCTTCAGTCTCCTCTGGACACGATAAGAGCCAGAATCAACAGGACTACAAGACAGCGCCTCTGACACCCCTAAAGACCTCAGAGATCCCAGACATTGTGCAAGATCTGCATGATACAATCATGCAGCAGAATCAGGCCGCCCAGTTTGTGCAGGGAATCAACATAAACGGAGTCACATATCTAGTCCAAACTCAGAAGGAACATACACAAACTCAGGCACCCCTTCTGGTAAGTTAAGTTAAACGAGGAACCATTGACTAGTCTTTGTTGCTGTAATTCTTTCTGGCATCAATGAACCACTTGATTAGTGTGAGTTTAATTTGGAACGACTATGATCAGACAGTTCCTGAATTGTAAGTTTTTGCAGTTTTAAAATTACAGTTAATAGCTAAATTCTTCAAACTTGAATGGCTTAGGCGTCACCTGGAATTACGTCACTTATATCTGGCCCTCAAAACAGTTTCGTTCAGCTGGCCGCACCTTCAAATACGCAGAAGATACCTCGTCTGGTCTCATTCGGAGCCATCAACGGATCTGATGGGGGTTCCAGACCTCTCTTACTCTTAAACGGGGCTCCAGGATCAGCTGCTGCATCGTTCCAGGATGTAGAGTTACTTGCCCAGCCACAAATTAGCGTGAAACCAGTTATTGGAAATATGGGCCAGAATATCAACCAGACTTTGTTGAATTGGAGACCGGCTCCGTCTGTGACTGTGAGTTCGAGTCTCGCAGATGTCGCAAATGCGTTGAAAAATGAGCCGGCGTTGGTGAGCGTGGGAGGCAATAATGTGACGACACAGTCTATAGTGGACAATGTGACGACAGCTAAGGCTGTAAGTGTACAAGTGCATGAATATTAAAAGAATTGTAACCTTGAAGTAAAGGTGAAATGCTCAGCCAACCATATGAATGACGATTTAGAATACTCTACAAAGAAAATGCAATGTAATGGCTCATAAAAACATATGTAATATTCAGCCCAATTGTCAATTTTTTTTCACCAGTACGACTCGCTGCATCTCAAATCCAAAAGGAATAGTTATGATTAAAAAATTATTTAGTTTTAAATAAAATATAAGTTTCTTGAGAAATGCCGTTGTTTTGGTGATCTCATGTGTACTGATTTATGCCACTGCTTCAGAAAATGCGAGAGCAGCTGGAGCGCAAGCTCCATTCGTCGAACGGAACTCATCAGTTGCAACAGATGCAAGTGAAAACCACCTCTTCTGCGTTTTTGAAAGAAAACACCAACACCCAATTGGGAAGCCAAGTGCCTCTGCAACTGAACAACCCACCGCCCACCCTGCCTAGTGGAAGCAATTCAGTAGCCGATTCGACAACAAGACTAGAGGAGACAGAGCCGAAGTACAGTCTGACCCGTGAAAAGAACCGAGAAGCTGCGCAGAGGTGTCGTGAGAAGCGAAAGAAATGGATCGCTAACATACAGGACGAGAATAAACGTCTCAATGTGAGTGAATTGGTTATGAAGATTTTATCCATGAGTATCAATTTTGCGATAGTTCATGGCATTGTAAAAAGTTATGAAAGAGCAACCTACTTTACGGTTTAAGTGTCAATGAACGTAGTGAAGACAGGTCGGGTAATTTTTTTTCAGGAAATAACCCTAGTTTTTCACGCTCAAATTTTACTCAGGCTGTTTTACAGTACTAGGTCAAACTGTGAGCGGATTCCGCAACGGATTCCGTTTTTCTTTGACCCTTTGGCGTTTTGAATCCAGAGACAAATAGTTGAACCAAATGCTAGTTCAATTACAGTTAATCTTTTCGATCTTTGTGGAATTCACGAAAAATTGTATATGCCGACAAAAGTTAGGTTACAAGGTATTTGGTATTCCCCAACCATGTGGCGTGTGGATTCGACTTAAAAATTTTGACCTGTTTAAAGTCTTGCATCCGGAATATACGGTCATACTCGCGCAAATCTGTGTGCCTCTCTAGAACATTGTCTGGCCTCATATTGTACTTCTGATTTCTTTATTTAGTTCAATTGATTTTAACCTGCTATAGGGAAAGTCAGTTACTCTCTTGAATAATAGGAGTTGAACTGGCCCAAAAAAACATGATTGACTTCCATTTTAGAAAATGGATTTTAATTTTTAGAATTTTCTGTAGAAAAAATTCAATCAAAAAATTTTTATCCCGAAAGATTTTGGAAATTTAACGATTTATCAGCAGCATAATTTTTTTTTATTCCAGTTATCTCTTAGTGGGCTAGTTTTTTTTTGAAAAAACGAAATGGTCAACCATAAAAGATTCAGGTAGTCCGAAACGCTTCAAGGTGGTATTTGTTTTGGTCTCCTTGAATTCATTTACACTTTTGTCAGTTTTCTGTTGGCTAATTGAAGTTCAATTCAAATTCGTTTCCTGAAAGAAAAGTAAATAAGGTTTTCCAACTGCGAAAGTAAAACAAGCTTTTTTGCTACGAAAGGACCGATAAAAACGTTTCATTTTTAGTTTCGCTAGTGTTTCTTAGATTGCCGAGTGGTATGAAAAAGTACCTTCTGATTCTTTTTCGTCAAATCGAATTAATTAAACAAAAAGGTCAAACATAAAAGATTCGTGAAATTCAGCTAAAAGGTTTTTGCAACTTTCTAAAAGCAAATTAAACTTTACAACTACGTAAGAAAAATAAGACTTTTTGCTACCAAAATACCAAAAACGGGTTTGACTTATTTTCGCTAGTCATTTTTTAACAGTCGATGACCGCAGTTAAGACTATTATACAGGTCGCGATGATTTTCTTTTTTCTTTTTTTTTCACTAAAAGTCTTGAAATCTGTGCAGGCTCAAAATTACTTTTTCACGGTTTGAATTTTGATTTCTTTTACGTTCAGTTTATTTCCTTGTGAAAAGGAAGGCAAACTCCACAATGGAACAGTAAATTGTAAAGGTCACGAAAAACCTTATCGACTTCTAGTTACGAAAGTGAATTTTAATTTTCAGATTTCCCAATTGAACAAAAAGTTTACATATTGATCCTGTTTTCTCAAATTGGGCTATTTTTTTATCAAAAAACTGCCATTCATTGAGTGGTCTAGAATTTCAATTAGTTTTAATGACATCTATTTTAAATTGAATTGTAAGATTTTTTTCAAAGACAAGTCAGTTTTTTTCTTACTTTTGTTCATTGACTCTTTTCCAACTATTGGCTATGTTTAAGAGTCGATGAAGTAGTTCAGATTCTAATATAGGTCGCGATGATTTTGTTTTTAGATTTTTTTCAGAAATAATCAGAAAAAAAAAATCAGAGGGTTCGAACCTGGGCAGGGTCGGATGTTTTGAACGAAATTTTTCGTATACTAGCTAAAATGCGTCCGCTCTATAAATTGAGGCATGTTAGTTGATGATTTTCTTTTTTTTCAAATTGACTGGTACTGCTAATAGGTCATAATTGGCTTGCGTTACTTAGCAATTATGTAGACTCATAATTGGCGTTTTTAGGTTCAAGTTTTACTCATTCAGTTTTTCCCTGTAGCGTTATCGGTCATATTTTTGCTTGTGTACGCAAAGTGCAACTTCGCCTCTGTATTACCCATACGATAAGCAAGGGTATTGCAATCGAGTACTAGACTTTTTTCCCGTGAATAACATTGTCCACAGAATGGTCAAATAATAAGCAGCAGGATTTGTATCCGTTCCATGGTCAGTGTACCGCGGCTTATTTAATTAATAGCATGATTACTGTATTGGCCCTGTGTACGTTAAGAGCTGCCTATTAGTTTTTTTTATCAGATACAAAAGGTTTTGGTAGATTTTCGGCACTGAGGTTGTTCGGCTTCAATTTTGTCGTCTTTTCCTCATGTTTTTCGTCTAGTAGTTAGGCTGGTTTTTTAGCAGTTGATGTCCAAAGTGAAATTTTCGAAATGACCCTCTTAAGCTAAGAAGTTTCGAAATAATGTAGTATGAAAAATTAAAGATGAAAAATTGGCAATGTTTTTTGAATAAAAGTTTTTTAGTAAGTTTTTGGCTTCTTAGTTCTTTTATGATTTAAGATTCAAATTCAATCAAATATTCAGTGCATCTGGCTTTGAAGTAAGACATATTTGAGATGTCAAAGGTTTGTGGTTGGAATCCAGCCGGAACCTGTTCTTTTTCAAACTAAAAGTTTTCTTCTTTCAGGCAATCATCCATCTCTTCTTTTTCGGCGCGGTTCACGTTGCACGGACAGTTTTTGAAAATGCTACTTTCTTCGAATTTTTGGAGCTTTCCAAATTTTTCGACTCGTCGATAATGAGCACAGAATTAGTACGCATGCATTTTCACGCAATTAGCATCTTTGGGTTGTTTTTGCTATGTAATTTGTGTTCGGAAGCAAATTTATGGTTCAGTTGTCGTGTTTTGCGTATTATTTCTATTTAAAATGGTTTTTATTCCAGACAAATTGATACAAAGAAAAGAAAGTGTTGATAGATCAACTTGTCTCGACATCAATTTTTTTCGTATCAACTCGCGGCTTTCTTCTCAACTTCTGTCTGCTAGTTTTTTTTGTTATGTTTTGTATCCCAAGTTTTCTGTTTTATGGTTGTCGACTTAGACCCTTGCATTCATTACATATAAAGCGTTCTTGGTCTCGATATGAGCAGTACATTTCGGTTGTTTATCAGTTTATTGGCCCTCGGTCTTACCTTTGTCGGTGTGTCTGTCTAATTCTTTGTTCCTAACAAATATCCGGTTTTATTTTGAAGATTGATAAGACACTGGCTTTGTCGAATGCTTAAAATTACCCTGCTTCTTTTTTTCAGTTTCTGTTTATTTTAATTTAATTTTTTCTTAGATCTTGGCTGCTTCATTTTTTCTTAGCTCTTGGCTTTTTCTTCAGCGTCATGCTGTTTTAATCCTATACATATGTATCGCAAGTGTGCGAAGCTCAGTTTCGCCTTTGTGTCAAAAAAGTGTCAATCATAAATTGATCTAGAAATTCAAAGAGCTTTACGGGCATCTATTTTTTCTTTGAGTTTCGGAAGTTGATGTTTTTTCAAAAAAGAAATCAGTATTTTTTTTCTGTTTACATGCGTTCATTGACTCTCTTCCAACTGTCTGTTGGCTATGTTTTAGATTTCCGAGTTGTATGAAAAATTACTTTTTGATCCTTGTTCCTCGATTTAGATTAATTAATGTAAAAGTAATCATTTTTTTGGTCTTTGACCCTGTCCGCCGGCTATTTCCATTCAAAAGTGGTTATTTGTGTTTAAATAAATTAATGTTTCTATGTGAAAATTGAATAAACATGTATGCATATATGAGTAAGCAACCAGAAGCAGTTCTGTTAGCACATTTTTATGGCGATTATTTAGTAATCATTTCATCTTTAAATTTTAGACTGAGAACTCCCGTTTAAAAGAACAAGTAGCAGTGCTGCAACATGAGCTGATGGACCTGAAGACCCGACTGCTAAATGAGCACTCATCGCTCCTAAGTGGATCCGCCTCGAAACTCTCCCTGCCTGCTGTCAGTTTGAGAAGCGAGTTCGCGGAAAGTGAGTTGAGCCAGAGTTCGAGCGGGAATGTTATCCAAGCGCCTCCAAAGCCAACGCTGCCTTTCAGTGACCTTATACTAGACGGTCAGTTGCTTAGCTGCGAGATTAAGAAACTGTGCGTTACTGAAAATGCAGTCCTTTATAGTTTCCGGAAGTTCAAATGCGAAAAGCAATTATTAATTGTCAGCAGTTTACTGCAACTCTTAAATCAGGCTTCAATATCAGTTGAAGGCCGTTCTAGGAATAAAAATTTTGATTTGCGCCCAATTTTCATTTCTGAGAGCAAGTGTGCTCGTAATCGAGAGCTAGAATTTTTTTCCGATAAAACATTTTTTCTTGCAAATGTGTAAAAATTAACCAACTGAGTAGGATGACTTCACATGCATGTTTCCGTTTTAAGTTTTCTTTCTACTCAAAATTGGTACACTTTTGGCTTTATACCACGAGCGTAGTATATAAGTACCAAGCACCTTTTTCCAAGCTAACTCAGAAATAAAAATTAGCTGACAAACATTTTGGAGATGCATAGCTTATGGATTAAGAAGGAACACGGAAAAATTGATATCAACGTACCTGAAAGATCAGTTTCAGTAGTAGAGAACACGGTATCTAGCTCAAAACCCGTCGCCTATGGAGTTCCACTAGGGTCAGTTTTGGGACGCCGTCTTTTCCTAATCTATATAAACGATCTGCCGAAGGTTTGTGTGAACTCAAAAGTAACCATTTATGCCGATGATTATAGCCTAGTTTCTACAAAAAAAATGCAAAAAGACACAAAAGCAAACGATTTAGAAATGTTAAAACGTGGCTGATTGAAAACAAATTAACTCCTAACCAAGATAAAAACAATAAATACAGAATTTGGATCAACATCAACCCAAATGATCAATCCAATTGTAGAAATGCCTCTATTTGGATGATACACTGAGTTTCAAGTTGATAAATTGAGTTTTTAAAATTCAAAAATTTTTAAAAAGATCATCTCGAAATGCGTCCACTATATACCACTTGCGGCAAATATTTATTCAAAACCAACTTCTAATCATATTTAAAAAAATTATATTCAGCCAATATATCAATAAGCTGTACTGATACATGGAACTGCTGCTTAAACCGAATTAATTCAATTTGTGAAAAACAGACAGTCTCCGAAAACTAAAAGACAAGCTTAAGTTCTGCTATATCAGGGAGTTGCATATATTTGAACTATTGAAGTTAATGACTAAAATCATGAGGCAGCCGCCATACTTAATAATCAATGAAATAATCACCGAACAAGAAATTCTCGACGCATTCTCAAATAACAACGTAATTTCAGCTCCGAAACACAAAAAGTGACGTGCCACAACAAGAAAAACATTTGAAAAAGGTTTGGATCATTATTTAATAATTTCTATGCCTTAGACAAAAAGTTATTTGAGGACTTATTGAATTGTCAATATAGTCCCTTTTATTCAGTTCTGCATCTTATACGGGATCTTTACATTTATGATAGCGATTTTTTAATGAATGTTTTTTGGTAATCGGAAACCAACGATTCTTTGTTGTTTGCTCATGAAGACACCACTCGATAGGCAGCTAACTGGCCTTTTTGGTGGTCTTTCAAGATAGGAGTTTTTTATTATTGTTTTGTAGTATGTAATTATAAATCGAGTCTCTTCCCTTCTTGAAAACGAATTTATTATGATTACTGGCCTTGAGCAGTTCGGTAAAACTTGTGCCCGCTTAGTCAGTTGAATGTAAGTCCTTTGAAAAGCGTTAATAATTTTTTAATCGCGTCTGTGGTGGGAGGTATGCGAATTTTGAAAATTTTGAGGCTAAAAATTTTTTGTGTGACGTTTTGTTTCCGGCTCAACGGGCGTCTATGGTTGTCTATCAATTCAGAAATTTTGGTATAATGATTATTTATTGCTAGCTGTTATCTTTCTCGGCATCTCTTGCCTCAAAATATTTTTGCGAACTACAGTTTTTTTTTACTCAGTAGCGTTTGTCGTGGCTTCTATCGGACAGCTTGCCATGCTATACTTATGATCTATTGAAAGTGGTGCGAATTCCGCTTCGCCTCTGTGTGATAAATTGCAATCCTTATCATTGAATGACAAATATTTTACAGGCAAAGAATACAGACAAGCCGGAGCAGAAGAATTGCAATCTATGGGAGTCGATATGAACTTCATAAGTTCGAATTATATCAAGGTATCAGAGGCCAACATGAGTGCCAGTGGCGATCATCTTTCACAGGTATCCAACGACAGCCGCGTTTCTGGGAAGACCCTGGAAAAGTCGGATTCAGGAGTTGACTCAGACGTAGAGTCCAAATCTGGAGCCCCTAGCATGTCGTTGACTACAAGCATAGCGCAACTGCCCAACCCTTTGGGTAATTACGTGATGTTTTATAGGCAACCGAGTAATGCGAATGGGCGACCGGCCTCAACTCCATTGATCACCTTTGATGATTCCTCTTTCAGCATCTCTGCTGGTCAGCTGGTGTCCAGTAGCGGAATTACGATGCCAACCGTGGCGTCAAATTCGAATCTTTCGGACAAATGACAGATATAATGAATATATTTTTGAACACTAGCAGCTAAAATAATATCTTGTGAGAAAGAAGAAGTTGCAGTGGAAGTAGGCCGTCTCATTTTATTATCGAATGTTCGCTCAACTCTATGCTCGCTCAAAGTCTATCCCAGTAATCCTATTTAGAATCTCATTGCAACGCAAACATGAAACCTTCTCACTCATACTGAAAACTTGAGCTAGAATTTGAAATTTGTGATAGTGGATGTTTGGTGATTACGCAATTTTGCCTTCTGAAATAAAATTTATTTTCCATTTTCCAAATTTATTTTTATTGGTCAGTAACACTAGTCCTGAATTCTATTAAATAGAGTTCATGTTTGATTTGAACGCTGCCTCCGAGCAACTTCAGGTGTATTGTTTTGATATCCTGAAAATCCTTTTGTAAAGCGAGTGATATGGTATTCTTTTTAATTTAGTTGTTATCTTTATACAAATCTGAATTTTAATAATGTGTACATTATATTATGCAATCAGAATTCACTTATTTATATGAATTATTTTTCCATAAGTTTGTACGAAACCAAATAAATGAAGAGATTCGGTTTTCTCAAATGGTTCAGTTTAATCCGGTTTTCTCAAAAAGGGTTATTTTTATAACAACAAAAGGTATGGGACGAAACAAGGATAGACGGTTACTGTGCAAATTGCGCAGAATGCTCCGACCATAGTCTTAACAAGTGAATTTTTTGTCAATTTAATGTCGTTTTTTTTGTCTGGTTTGATATTAAGATCTGAACCAAAAATATATATAAATTAGGTATATTCGACAGTCATAGTCACTTAGGCTAATTCGAAAACAGTTTCTGTAGAAAAATGACAAGAAAACGAAAAAACAAATCGTAAAATTTTTTTCTATTTTGCAGAAATATTTTTGAATTTCTAAAGTTTTTGATTGCCAAAAGGGCGCTTAATTTTTCGAAAACTAACTTAACCTGAGTAAATTGAAGTTTTAACGGCCTAAATTAAGCTTAAAAAGCTATTGTGAGCCTGCAAACTTTATTTTGACGAACCTTATTAGCTCGAAATTAGAACAAAAATCAAAAATTTCAAACCGGTTTTTCTTATCACTTAGAAAAAATTTTCAATGTTCGAATCACAATTAGAAGAGCTTTAATATAATATATAACTCGGCCCATTTTGATAATTATTGTGGTACGTGATTTTTTGTGGAAAAAAACTAAAACACACCCGAATGCGAAGTTCCTCCACATTTTGTAAATGGTCAGAATAAAAACTGTCAAGTAATTAAATTTCTTGAATTTGAAAGAGTTTTGAGGTAATTTCAGTTGCGAGAACTAGCGACCTGTAATCGGGAACTAGACATTTCCCTTAAACTACATTTCTTACAATTGTGTAAGAATTTGACCTTGCTATATAGTTAAACCTCAATAGCTTAAAAGCCATTTCTATTTGTTCTAGAGGTAATCAAGTGCGTGCCTTGGGAGCCTTAGTTACCGGATACCAGTCTCGGTTGGACCTTGTTTTTTGTATCTTTATATTTTTTTCTGGGAAATAGACGAGTCGGGCTATAGTTTGTTTGCTTGTTTTTTTATCGGCTTACTTTCCCAATCATGGATTTTGCTTGAGTGCTCTATGTAGAGTTCCTTTTTTAACATTTGTACAGAAGCAGTTATTTGTGTTACATGATTTTGTGTAGTTTTAATTTTATTAGTTTTCCTACAAGGTTTTTTGCATGCAATGATTTTGGCAAATGCTGCTATATCGGCTTAGTTGCCTCAGATTGGTCGTTATTACACTAGCAAAGAAAAGTTTACTAGTATGAACTTTCTTTTTTCCAACCTAAGTGGCAAATATTGGTACCACTTTTGGGGCACCTTTACAGCTTATTGATAGTATGTGCTGTGACGATTCGAATCGTAATAAGTTAACACAGTTGACGCATTTTTAATTCATCAAATAAACCGAAAAAAGCTACTTTTTCAAACAACACAAAAATAATAAAAACTCGATTTCAGAAATTTTCTAACTCAATGCGTCTCGCAAATTTTTAAAATGCATCAGTTATACATAATGTGGCTTTATACTTAGCGATTTATTACATGCAAAATTGTGTCTTTTGTATTTGGTGCTAGTTTTACTGCATGGAATTGGCAATTTATTAGCATATGTAGCTGCGTTATTGGTGGTTAGTTTTGGGGGATTTTAAGCATCTGTGGCTGCGTGGTTAGTGTGTGAGACTCTAATTTGCTAGGTCGTAGATTCGAGTCCGACACGTAGCCGAGTTTTTGCTAATTCGAGGCTTATTGCTACTTTTTCTGTTGTCACTTGATAGAGCTGCTTTTTTGTCGTGTTCTCGCAAGTGTTTGCGAAGCGCAGCTTTGCCTCTGTATGAAACTTTTAGTCTCAAATTTAAAAAAAACCTACAATTCTTTCCAAGACATTTTTCATGGAACATCTACCAAAATTTTGTCTGCCTAGTTACTGCTCCATAATTTTTTTTCAGTGCTCTTTGAACGTCGGGCAGTATGTTTCGCTACTGTTTCGTTTAAAATGATCATCTTTCGAGGCATACGTTTGTATGTTTAGTTTTTTCAACGTTTTCTTTCCCTTGCGAAAAGCAAGTATTGCAATCAGGTACTAGACTTTTTTCCCGAAATAACATGTTCACAGGGCTCATCTCTAGTGTACTTTTGGACTCATCTCTAGTGGTAGCTTTTTTCATAATTATTTTAAATTCTTGGCGTTCCCAGCCCACTTAGCCCGGAGGTAACGATTTCGCCTGGTACTCCAAAGGTCCTGGGTACGAATCTGACCAGGACCTGTTTTTTTTTTCAAACGGGAAATATTCCGTTTAAACAAAACTGTCGGCTTATTGTTTGTTCGATTATGTTTCATCAGCTTAGTTGCCACATCGTAGATTTTTTTTGCTATGCGCAATTTTTTTGTAGCTGCTCTTAGTGAATTGATTTACTTCAGCTGTTTGTAATTTCCTGACTTGTATATACTTTTTTGCCTAATTTTGTGCTTGGCCCAAATGATTTTGACTTATATTTTATCGGCTAAGTGACCTAATTTTGAGTGGTTTAGAGTGAAACGTAGTTTGTAGGCTCACCTCTGGATCGCCCAATTTGCTGAAATCTTGTTAGAAATTATAGTCCAGATTTTTTATGACAGTTTTTTTCGCATTTTTTTTTTCTTTTTTTTTGGCGTAATTGGTTCCGTCTTATGTTATATCGTCTTAATGGCCTCATTCTTTGCCTGTCGACTAGCGAAAAAAAAATTGTATGTACCAGTCTGTTTTGAGGGTGAGGGGGACTTAATTTTTTTGGCCTTCTTTTAATTTCCTTTGTTTTCTTCATAATTGGTTTCGGCCTATATTATATCGGCTTAGTGTCTTCATATTGTTTCATGAGGAGCATTTAAAATTGTTGGTTGTGTCTTTTGAGTGATTTTTTGAGGGGTACTTGTTAACTATTTATTAGCCAAACGTCCCTTGATTTTTTTGTCTCAAAGGGTTTCTGGCAAGGTTTTTTAGGCATTGTAACCGCTTGGTAAATTTTCTTCCGATGCTAATTTCGCATTCTATTGCCTTGGCAAGTTTTCTTTTAAAAGTACCCTGATTTATTTGGATAGATCTAATTTTTTTGACATTTTCGTTTTTTCCTACTTAGCGGCTTTCTTATTTTGTACCGCAAGTGATGCGAAGCATAGCTTCGCCTGTGTTTAATTTTTCGAATTTTCTCGAAAACTATCCTCTTCTATCTGAGATTTTGGGTTCTAAAGAAAGTGTTGTGGGAAGCTCCTTTCCATACGCATCTAAGCCCAATTTTTTACACAAATATTTACGGCCCTTGGAAAAGTCAAATTTTTGATTTTTGACCGTCTTAAAGAATTACTTAACTCTAACTTTCCTGCCAAATTTGATAGCATGGTTTAACCGGAACAACAGGTTGTTAAAAGCCTAGCTTTATATTTGGCAATTTATTTAAAGAAAAAAGTAAAGGCCCTCAAAAATTTCTTAGCATTTTTGAAACTTAGACTCTTTTTTGGAATTTTTTTTGACTTTACTCGAAAACTGCCCTGCAAATTCTATGGTTAAGTGTTCAATCGAGAAACGCGGTTTTAGAATCTTCTCTACTTAAGCGGCCACGTTCTGATTTTTGCAGAAAAAAATATGGACTTCAGAAGAAATTTTAGAACTTTTGACTGTTTATTAGAAAGATTTAAAACCCTTCAAATCAGAGATGAAAAGTTCAATCGAAAAGCTGGTTGCGAGAATTTTTTTCTGTATAATCGGCGATTTTTTATTTTAACTTGAATTTTACTTGCATTCCAATATTTTTGTGGGCAAAGTCCATTTAGAAATTACCTATTTCATCCAGCTTCAGTATATCAAATTCAAAGAATATCAAAAACAAACCTTTATCTTTAGCTGGGGCCCTAATTATCTTCTATCGAGACAAACAAAAATTGAGGTTTAACCATTTTTTTATAATTTTTTTTTCGACTTCGTTTTTTTCGGATTTGTAGCTTCCTCATTTCTATCCGCCAGCTTGCAATGCTATTTGAGCGATGTGGCGCAAACGCTGCGAAGGGCCGCTTCCTTTCTGTGTATAACGTGGTTAAGCAAACTCAGAGATTATAAATTTTTAAAAAAGGATCACGTTTTCGATTTTTTCAAGTTCATCAGTTCCTATGATACATATTTTCTGTTTACACGAGCCAGCGTTAATTTATACAGTCATTTCATTTTTACGTAATTCAACTTTTTGTGTTATAATTCATTGAAATAATTGCCTTTGAAGGACTTTTTTATTCACTTTTCGAGATATCAACGCCCCTGCTTGAATACTATGAAGATATTGAACGTGAGATTATTCTGCGTGACGTTTTTAGAGCTTTGAAAATGAGCAATTTGTTGGATTAGTGTTTTTGTCTTGTCTATGATGCTCCACGCGTCAGCGCGTTTTATTTGAGGTTGTCGACTATATCATTTCACTTCAAAGAGCTCAATTAATCTTTTCCAATTAGGTTGAGGCAATTTGATAGGCTCCAATAATTTCCCTGGAAGACTTAAATAATGTTTTTCAGTTACTTTTTGAAGCTGTTTTTTAAAGCGGGATTCTGTATTTGCTTGTTTTTTTTGGGGACAAGCTTTTCAGCTTGTGATTGCTAAGTGCAGCTTCAACTGTTGCAAAACATTTGATCATTGGCACACTTTTCCCAGCTTTTGATATATAGTTTCTAGGCTTGACTGATGAAGCACGTTTTTCAAATTTATTTTTGTCAGCAAAGCTCCAATTGAGCTAAAAAAGACAGGCTTAAATGCAGCAAAGCCGTTTTAACCCATTATCTCACAGAAATAATGATCATTTTGGTTTCAACTAAAATCGATGCCTATTTATCAGGACGATTTAGAAAGTGTTCGTTTTATTGAACTGTTTTATAATTTGTTTGCTGACGATCAAAAGTTTTTGCTCAAGCTGCGGTGATTATGCTTGCGACTAACAATTGTAAAATAATTTGAGCATGT